GGGTTGAAGCCTAAAACATCTGGGGACCCACAGGTTGAGAACCACTATTCTAAGGCAAGGAATGGAGTCAGTCCCCCATATCCATGGGTTCTGCATCCATGGATTCAACCAATCAAGGTTTGAAAATATTCAAAAACGAATCCAGAAAGTAAACATTGATTTTGCTGCATGCCAAGCATTCAGTGGTTCCCAACCTTTGGGCTTCCATGTGTTTAGGACTTCAGCTCCCACAGTTCCTAACAACTGATAAGCTGGCTGGGATTTCTGGGAGCTGAAGTCCAAAACACCTGGTTGAGAACCACTGCATAATGTGTTGCCATGCCCTGCTTTAGTTTGCAGCCATTTCACAACCCTCAAACTCTTTCCAGCACTACGTCAATGGTACATAAAGATAATTCTCCCCTAGTGGTACTGAAATCAGGGATGTTGAATCTGTGGAATTCCAGATATTATTGAACTACAACTGTAACCATTCCTTGGTATTTGCTCTGCTGGATAGAGATGGCAGGAGTTGCATGCCAACATCTGGAGGACCAGATTTTAACTAATTTGTCTTTAAACATCAGGAGACTATGACACAAGCTTCAGGATGTAAAACAAATTTATTTTGTCATTTCCATTCATTTTTACATTATGAGAAAAACAGAGACCCTATCCCACCCCCAAACACATGTCAAGACTCCTGTGAAATTATTTTGAAACCTGCATAATTGATTTAATGTGTTTTGATTGAAATACTGTAATCGGATCACATGAATATCATATGGTTCAACACAGAAAACTGGAAGTAAAGCAAATTCCTTTCTGATGACTCGTTTCTATTGTGAAGAGCTGGATTTGGCTGCAAAAGCTGTCAAAGTTTGAACAGAATGAAAGACCTGTGTTCTCAGAATATTGCTGAATAAATATGGACATTTATAACTATCAAAATTTGAGTTGAAGGCCATAGATATCAATTGTATGTTACTGATTGTCCTTCCGAGGGTGATGTTCTCCAGATATGTTCTCCAGCCACCCAATAATACCATCAATGTTATCAAGCCTCCTTCTCTATCTAATGCCTCTACAGTTGTGTTGTACTACCAGCTCCAACATTCCCAGCCAACATGCCATGACATGTTTAAGTACTTGGATGCTGGCTATGAAAGAAGTATGTTGCATTCGAAAATAGTTGTAGTTTCCAAGCTAGAAGTGATTGGGAGGAAAAGAAAACATTGGGAAAATATAAGGGAAGTAGCCTTGATATCTGAACCAAATTGAGCTCAATACTCCAAGTAAATCTATTGTCTCTCATTTTCCTGTTCTTTCTGCATCCCAGAATAAAATGATGGATGAAAGCCCTGGAATTCCAATACAATCTGACCACCTTAACAATAAATTTTGTATCCAGTTTCACTTACCCAAACTCCAAATAAACTACCTTCCCAAGTATTTATGGGCATCTCTTGGTGCAATTCTATGAGATTTTTCCAACCCAAATATATCGAAAATATGGTGTTTGTTATTATCCACTGTCCAGATATCCATGGTGGGTGGATGTGTCCTGGAAAGTATCTCCTGGGGATACAGGGATTGTACTGTAAATCATCCAGGTCATTCACGTTAAGGCTTCCTGATTCAACGTTGGGACAAGTTGAGGATCTATATATTGAAAACATTTAAAATTTCCTCTAGGCCAGCATTTCTCAACCTGGAGGTCAGGATCCTGGGGAGGGTTTGTGAGGATTTGAGAGGCGTCACCAAAGTCCATCAGAAAACATAGTATTTTCTGTTTGTCATGGGGGTTCTGTGTGGGAAGTTTGACCCAATTCTATCGTTGGTGGGGTTCAGAATGCTCTTTGATTGTAGGTGAAGTATAAATCCCAGCAACTACAACTCCCAAATGTCAAAGTCTATTCTCCTCAAACTCCACCAGTGTTCACATTTGGGCATATTGAGTATCTGTTCCAAGTTTGGTTCACATCCATCACTGTTTGAGTCCACAGGGCTCTCTGGATATAAGTGAACTACAATTCCAAAGCTCAAGGTCAATGACCTCCAAACCTTTCCAGGATTTTCTGCTCGCTGGGAGTTCTGTGCGCCAAGTTTGGTTCAATTCCATAGTTGGTGAAGTTCAGAATGCTCTTTGGTTGTAGATGCACTATAAATCCCAGCAACTACAACTCCCAAATGACACCCCCTCCCCCAATCCCACCGATATTCAAATTTGGCCATATCAGGTATTTGTGCCAAATTTGGTCCAGTGAATGAAAATGTATCCTGAATATCAGATATTTACCTTACAATTCATACCAGTAGCAAAATAGAATCATAGAGTTGGAAGAGACCTCATGGGCCATCCAGTCCAACCCCCTGCCAAGAAGAAGGAATATTGCATTCAAAGCACCCCATCCAGCCTCTGTTTTAAAGCTTCCTATTACAGTTATGAAGTAGCAACAAAAATAATTTTATGGTTGGGGATCACCTCAACATAAGAAACTATTAAATGTTTGTGGCATGAGGAAGGTTGAGAACCACTGCTCTAGGCTATGATAGAGCTAAGCTAACCTTTCTGCAGCACCACAGAAATCTTGAATGACAGTCTTAAATGTCTCATATAGTAAAGTGTTTATTGGGGGGGGGGGGACTAAATATGCATCCCACATTCTTTTAAGCTTTCAAAATATCTGCTTGCTTTATTCTCCATTAAAATGAAAATATTTTTTGCCAGAGGATAGCTAAATGCTATTTATTTGGTCAATCTGTGCATTCATGGAATTTCTGCTTTTGTAGCTCTTTTATTATGGAAATTCTTTAATTACTCATTTTATTCTAGAAGGTAACATTTATTCTGTTATTAGAGGGAAGCATATCTTTGTGCTGCTCATTTAATCATCCCTTGAAAAGCTGCATTTTTACAAGTATTTTAAACAAATATATAATGTGTGTCAAGTGTATTTCCAAACTACCTGTTGACTTATGGCAATGTCTTGAATTTCATGGGATTTTCTTAGACAAGGAATACTCATAGATGGTTTTGCTACTCCCTTCTTCTGAAATATAGCCAACAGCATCAGGTATTCATTGCCAGTCATCCAAGTGTTAACCAAAGCTGACCCTACTTAGCTTCCAAGATCAGATATGATCTGGTGCCTTTAAGATGCCTATGTAACCCTTGGAGCTGCTAGATTCATGGTTTTGCATGCAGAAACAAAGAGTGATGTCTGCAATGTATTTGTATAAGGATTGCTAGTAAATGTTGCCCGACAGACTGCAAATATTTTGGCTTGTTCCCCAAATATTTTCATTTAGTGTTGTGTTGATACCTTGATAGATAGCCAAAGCTTTCCCAGCTTTTATTGCTTTTTAAAGGTGTACTCTATGATTGTTTCCTGATTTGAGTCAGCTGTTGTCTTTTTAGTGAGAAATTCTGAAAATTAGGCCTTTTGAGAAAAGGAATGTCCAAATTAAATGAATTACCATTATGTTTTAAACTAAAAGCATTGCTATCTCCAGCCAGCCTTTGAAAGCTGGAGATTGGCTTTTCTTTGGATAGAGAGGCCTTTCATCCCAAATAAATGTCCCGAAATGCTAGTTAATATCATTAAAATGTTAGAAATGTAGCATACCCACACCCTCCAACATTTCATAGCTGGAGATCTGACCATGTGTGACCAAACCACATCAGAGAATGTGGTTAAGATGGGAAAAGTTATTAATGATGAAGAACACCAGCTAGGAGAGCTTGCAGCAACATGTTTTGTCTGAAGCTTCTGGAAAGGACAAGGTTCTGCCCCTTTTCTTCTTTCTGCTGAATTGGTGAAAGCTACTTTGGACTTTGAATTCAGTTTGCAAGGATGAAAGTCAACTGAAGACAAAGGGAAAAAGTGGGAGGAAGAGAACAAAATGGGAACATTTTAAAATCAACTGAAAAAGTGGAACAACAAAGGGTTAATTTGGGACTGTCCTTGCCAAATCAGGACAGTTGGAGGGTATTCGATAATAGTAGGGGTGGTTAGTGAGTGTTACATTATCTATTCTGCCTTTGTCTTGCCTGACCTGTTCCTAACTTGCTTTTATTGATGTCCACAGAATCACTTCATACTTCCCCTCTTTCAGTCCAAAGTCTTTCTTTTTTTCTAGTTATGTAGGTAGATATAGCATCCCAATCATATCACGCTTATCTATGGCGGTAGTTCCTATGGTAAATACATAGTTCTCTTTCTGTCTTTTTTACTTATTCCAAGCACCAGCTTCCATGTAGATTTGTATACCCACCACAAGCCTAAGTGCTATCTGGTATTTCTGTAAGGTGACCAAAGATACTTTATAGATGGGTTTTCCCTTGGAGATGTGGACAAGGATGGGGGAAGGCAGTCTCACAAAAAAGCAGAACACAGTTTTCTTAGAGAGCCTTGCTTATCTAGGGCAACATTGAGGAATTGGAGCAATAGCAATATAATATATATACTCTTATATAAGGCCAGACATTTTAGTCAAAAACTCACCCCAAAAAACATGCTTGAGGTATCATTTAACTACTATACCTAAACTCTTACTTAATAAGGACCCAACCTCTTATCTGAGTAGAGTGGCAAAAGGCAAAAAACCATTGACCCACTTGTACTCTCTCCACAGAGGTGTCACTTTTGGCTATAATGCTTGGGCAGGGAAATAGCAGCAGTAGCGGGCCCACTGAGGTAGCATTGATGCTTTCTCCTCTCCATGAAATGATCCACGACTTATACAGTAACACAGATCACATCAAAATCCATGTTTTTAGCATCAATTCTTGTCCTTGATTTAAAAATGAGTTTAACTTATACACTTGTATGTAAATACGTGCTGGTAACACCCGAATAAGTATTTTCTCAGGGAATTTAGGAGTTGTCCTTGGGTCTTGATCTGTCTGTGGATTGCTTCACCAGTCTTTTAGGGACACCCATGACTCTAAAGTGCAGAACTGTGTTGTTGGAAAATGCAGGTGGACTTCTGTCTCAATTTCTTTTCTTTCGCCTTAGGTGCAACCAACCAAAATGTCAGCCAAGAAGGAAGGCGCACACAAGAAATGGGCAGCCTTGAAGGAGAAGCTGGGGTCCCAGGAGTCTGACCAAACAGAGGCCAATTTGGAAAATGCAGAACCAGAGCTCTGCATCCGGCTCCTGCAAATCCCTTCAGTGGTGAACTACTCTGGGCTCAAGAAAAGACTGGAGAGCAGTGATGATGGCTGGATGGTCCAGTTTCTGGAGCTTTGTGGGCTTGATCTTCTACTGGAAGCCTTGGATCGACTCTCTGGGAGAGGTGTCTCCAGGATTTCTGATGCTCTTCTACAGCTGACATGCATTAACTGTGTGCGGGCAGTAATGAACTCGCAGAAAGGCATCGAGTATATTGTGAGCAATGAAGGCTATGTCAGGAAACTCTCCCAAGGTGAGAACACACTTTCTGAGTCTTGTCACAAACATTAGTATGCTTGCACAGGGACATTATTTGTGCACCATATTGGCTTCCAGACATTTTACCATAAAGACATGTCACCTCCTTGTCTTCTGTTCTCCAGCTCCCTAAGTCATTTCTCATAATTTGGTTTTGAACTAAAATACTACTTGGACTTCTTCTCACTTTGCCTTCTCTCTTTTCAGCACTTGATACTTCAAATGTCATGGTCAAAAAACAAGTTTTTGAACTTCTGGCTGCTCTCTGCATCTACTCAATGGATGGACATGCTTTAGCTCTGGATGCTCTGGATCATTACAAGGCAAGCAGAAATCAGAGGCATAATAAAGAACTCAATATACATGTACAGTACAGCCCTTGTATCCATGGGAATGGTATCCATAGTTTTATGTTTTCATGTCAGACAGAACTAGTCCTCTCTAGACATTTTAGGTCCTCTGTTTTGACTCTATGATATTCATGGGTCAGAAGTCTTCATGCAGTCTGGGAACAGATCCTCCAAAATACAAGGCTTCTATTGTAATTCAAAATTAAAGTTTAGAATTAAGGAAGAGGCTCAATCATGAAGTCCTCTTGTGTTCCAATATAACAAACTAGAAAGCAAGCAATTGGTGGGAAGACATCCATTTTAAAATATTTAAGGATAGATGCATGGCAGGGTTGAATGGTGTTTTAATGTGTTTAAAACACTTTTTTTTAAAAAAAATCTGAACTAGTTTAAATGCTTTCATTGTTCATTATGCTTGGGACCAGAAGTGTTCCATATTTTGGCTTTTTTGGAGTTTGGATATACATAGTGAGATATCTTAGAGGAGAGGCCCATATCTAAATCCAAAATTCACTTGTTTCATATACACCTTATACACATTGTCTGAAGATAATATATTTGTTTGTTTGTTTGTTTGTTTGTTTGTTTATGCCGTTTATATGCCGCTCTTCTCACCCTGAAGGTGAATCAGAGCGGCTTACAAGATATATATACATACAATACAATAAATATTATTAGCATAGTACAATATCAGTATTATATATTCCTATATTGTACTATACCATTATATTGTAATATTATTAGTAATATTACATATAATATAAAATATATAATTATAATATGTATGCACAATATTTTAAACGTTTTTTATGCATGAAGCAAAATGTGTGTATAGTGAACCGTTGAAAAGCAAAGTGTCACTATCTCAACCACCTATGAGGACAGTTTTGGAGTCTGAAGCATTCTGGGTAAGAGATGCTCCATCTGTATTGCCTCCCAGCAGGAAAACTCAACCAACAGTATATAAAGAAAATAATCACTCCTTGATTTTTCACCCCACACCTGACAATCCATTTAGTGTGCAGTCTTTGGTCCCGGCTGTTCAGTGGAAGAAATTTGGCCATTAGCCTTTGATATAGTTACTCTCTGTTCAGTGATCTCTAGTCACCTTTTAAAGTTTTCAAAGGTTAGACTTACACATACAGGAGAAACACCGCTTGTCAGTGTTACATTTTGGATTGCAATTCCCAGTTTCCTCCAGCCAGTGAACTAGGAGATATTGAAAGATTTTATTTGTTGTGTCAGGGCAACCAGTCAATTGTATTACATTTCTAACAGAACAAAACAAACAAACAGACAAAATACAAAATTTGTGAGTTTGGTAGTTGATTAAATGTCCTTTGACCAGTAGCTGGCTACTTGGAGTGCTTCTGGTGTTGCTGCAAGAAGGTCCTCCATTGTGCATGTGGCAGGGCTCAGGTTGCATTGCAGCAGGTGGATATTGAAAGATGTAATTTTTTCAAGGTCAACGAAGGATTGGCAGGGTAAATTATAACAAATTCAGATTGAAAAGCACCTATTCTTCCACCTCCTAAAAATTCCTCATTAAAAAAGCACATCACTGATAAAAAAATTAGTTCAACCCTTGTTAGCTTTCAACTTGCAAATGGATTTTTCTCCCACGTGCAAAAGGAATCTCAAAAAGTTGGCGCCCACCTCTCTACCTGCATTCCATTCTCCTGCCTGATTCTTGCTTCATGCTGCTTCATGCTGTTGCACGTATCAGCCAGACTGAAGTCTGTGGTCATTATTAACACCTCTTTTGGCAGGGAATCCCATCTGTGTATGACGCACTGTGTGAAGAAACTCTTTTTCTTCTTGTTTAAATACTGAACCTGCTGCCAAATGCCAGTTGATTTCAGTGACACCCAACTGCTAGTGTTATAGAAAGTACTCCTACACTGAGGCAGCAAGAAGGGAATTGAAAGGCTTGTAGGCGTTGTCATAGAAGTTTTAGATTCCCTTGGGATGAACTGAGTTGCTTTTCATTTCACAAGGCGATGATTGCCAACATTTGGAAATGTTATTTGTTGAATAATAGCCCCCAGAATGCAGTATGGTCACTAGTTCAGAAAAGTAATTTTATAGGCTCTTGAGTATAGCTTAATAGTAGTGCACATATAGTAGTTGATTGCAAAAGTTCCCAAATTCAATCTTTGACCTCCCTAGAATCAAGTAGTGAAAGGAAAAGACCTCTCTCTGAGTCTGCAGCAAGCTGTTGTTGATAAAGTAAATAATACTTAGGCAGTACTAGATGGTAGTTATGGGCCCAAAACTTGTCCCATTCGTTTGATTCGTGTTTCCATTTCATTCTGTCCATTCAGATGGCACGAAATGGAAAGGCCATCCTGGAACGAAAATGCAATTGATACAGAAGGCAGGCAGGAGCAGGTACCGGCTCCAAGCCTGCTTTTCTGATCAATTGCCTGGGACCTGGCAGGGCCTGCAGCCAAGCACTGAGTAAGGAGCGCTCCTTACTCGGCATCAGCTGCAGGCCTTGCCAGGCTCGGGCGCAAAGCCTGCACCCATAGGCCTGAGCATTTTGGGCCTATGAGTGAAGTCCTGTCCCCCCAATAATGGGCCGAAAGAAAACTGATCTTTTGGCCCCAAAAACAAAAAGCAAATATCTGATCTCCTGATTTCGGGAGGCTCAGACAAAGCCGGAACATGAAACGGATGAAGGTTACTCCCAAATGCACATGACGACTAGATAGGCAAGCAATATAATTTAGAATAATGCAGTTTTCTGGGGGTTTTTTTTCCAAAGATTTGGAACCCAGGTCTTTTGAAGGAATGATATAAGGAGCTGAGTGCGTCTAGCTTGATACATGATAGCTATATTCAAATATCTGAAGGGACGTCCTGTAGAAGATGGAGCAAACTTGCTTTCTGATGTTGCAGAGGCTGGAACGCAAAATTTATTTATTTACAGCATTTTTACCCCACCCTTCTCAACCCTCAGAGGGGGACTCAGAGCGGCTAACACAGGCAGCAATTCGATGCCACAGTATCAATAAAGACCAATATAAAACCATAAATACATAAAAGGTTAAAAACAGTAACAATTAACTATATAATCACACAATCACCTAATCACATATCCGTTTCCAATTATCATAACAGTAATCATCACGTCTAATTCCACGTTCAAAGTGCTGCTGTGCCCACTAGACGAAAGCTTGGTTCCAAAATCTCGATTTTAGTTCAGATCACTATGGATTCAACTATGGATTCAAATAAAAAGAAAACACGTTTCACCTAAACATTAGAAATAACTTTTTATATGCAAGAGCTGTTCAATAGTGGAATAAGCAGTCTTGGGGGATAGTCAATTCTCCATCTTTTGAAGTCTTTAAGTAGAAAATGGATAGATGTTTTTAGGGGTGCTTTAGTACCAGAGCAGGGGGAATGGACTTGGTGTACCTAGTGGTCCCTCTGAACTCTAAGATGTTATGATTTCTAATTTGATCACAGAATCTCTTCTTTGATCTAACATATCAATGATTTCCCCTGTAGACTGTGAAAAACCAACAGTACCGGTTCAGCGTCATAATGAATGAACTCTCAGCCACAGATAACGTGCCATACATGATAACACTCCTGAGTGCCATCAATGCAGTCATATTGGGGACAGAAGAACTAAGAGCGAGGACGCAGCTCCGGAATGAGTTCATTGGTAAGCTTAGTTGTTCCTTACACAGTTGAAATTGTCTTAGACCCTTGGATCCTGGACCAGTGCCTGGCCGCTGAGATGGACTGGATGAGGGCTAACGAGCTGAAACTTAATTCAGACAAGACAGAGGTCCTCCTGGTCAATCATGTGGTCAGTTGGGGTATAGGATGGCAACCTGTGCTCAGTGGGATTACACTTCCCCTGAGGACACAGGTCCACAGTTTGGGGATCCTCCTGAACTCAGCGCTGATGCTTGATGCTCATCACTGGTGGCCGGGAGGGTATTTGCACAGTTAAAACTTGTGTGCCAACTGCGACTGTACCTCAAGAAGCCTGACTTGGCCATGGTGGTCCACATCTTGGTTACATCTAGATTGGATTACTGCAATGCACTCTATGGGGCTGCCTTTTTAAGATTGCCTGCAAATTGCAACTTGTGTAGAGGTTGGCAGCCAGGTTGTTAACTGGAGCTAGTTACAGGGAGCGGATGACACCTCTACTAAAGCAGCTCTACTGGCTGCCAATAAGTTTCTGGGCCCAATTCAAAGGGCAGGTTATTACCTATAAAGCCATAAATGGTTCAGGTCCTGTGTATCTTCATGACCATATCTCCTTCTATAAACTGGCTTAAGTGCTAAGATCTGCCAGGGAGGCCCTTCTCTCACTCCCACCTCCGTCGCAAACGTGGTTGGTGGGGATAAGAGAGAGGGCCTTCTTGGCGGTGACCTCCCGGCTCTGGAATTCTCTCCCTGGAGAGAATAGATTAGCCCCCACCCTGACCACCTTTCAGAAAGAAAAACTTGGATGTTCCAATGTGCCTTTGAGTAATTAGTTAGTAATCAAGTCTGCCTAGCCCTTATCTTTTGGTAGCATCTCCAGCACTTTATTCCCAGCTCTAGCTCTACAGTTTGTGTTTGCACTAGCCCTTATCCTGCCCTATTAGTCTCAAATCTGCACGTGCCCACTTTTCTCGGCTATTGGTTGTTTGTTGCTTGGTTTATTTTTGCATGATGTCTTACATTTAATTCATTTTATTGTTTTAATATAGTTGACTGTTACATGTTTTTAACTGTGTTACTTTGTTACCTTTGTTTATATTGGGCTTGGTCCCCATGTAAGCTGCCCCTTCGGGGAGATAGAGGTGGTATATAAGAATAAAGTTGTTGTTGTTGTTGTTCTCACTTAAGTGCCATGGTACTGTTCTTTAAAATCCTGGGATTGGAGAGAGGAGCATTTATAGTTCTCAACCAGAGTGCTTCCTTGCTTCTCCAAACTACAAGTCCCAAAATTCAATAGGGCAGAATCATAGCAGTTAAAATGAGACACAAATGCTGTAATTCATAGTGTGAGTGGGGTCCTATTCTGTGGATTCTGCAAAATACTTCACCTTAGTAGATCAGTGCATTAATTTTTCCTTATATTACTTCAAGTATCTTTTATTTTGTCTTAGAAGTGCCATTTTGCTATCCCATTTACAAAAAAATGGAGCACTCCCATCTTTGCAGACCCTCCCTACACACTAAGGTTCCCCATTGAATTTTTATCCCATTTAGGCATATCATTTAGCAATTTTCAACGCCTCTGGTTGCACTGCAAAATCAGTACTATTACAGAAAAGGACCTATTGATTTAAAAGAAATGTTACTATTACTCTCCTTATTATTTTCCAGAATGTCTGTTTCATTCTGTTAATGGATTTTAATATAGTTTTATGTCAAGCAGATCATATTATCAACTCTTTTTTCATTCCCTACTTCTAGGTCTCCAACTGTTGGATATTTTGAATAGACTGAGGTGAGTTCAAGAGTATATCCTGAACATATAATTAAGACTTCTTTAAAACAGTAGTAATATATCACATAATGCTTGGAGGCTGTACTTTCCATATTGTTGTTTCTTTTTATTCCCACGCACATTGTATGACTTATTTTTCCATTAAGAGCAACCATGGTAGGAGGCAGATCTGGGTTTGAACACAGTAATACTTCCAATCTGGAACAGGGTCTGACTAATCCCTATAATTAATGACACTTTCTTGCACTATCCACTTCATCATATTCTTCTGGGCCATTTCTATTGGATGGGACTTGGGAGCAGTTATGCAGTGATTATGGTCTTTTTTGAAGGGGCGAACTGAGAAAGTGATGCTGGGAGACTCTTGTTCAGCACCCTGACCTTTGGCCTATGGGGTCCTTTATGCTGTTTTAACATCCACATGAGTAATCATCTAGAGCTTTGAGGTTTAGTGTCTTTATATGTTCAAGACACTCAACTCTCTTTTCTTCCCATCTGAGGCCAAAGAAGCAGCCTTGGTACAGAACCAATGTCTATTATCAGTAATCAATAAGATGATAGGAAACATATTGAAACTTAATTTAGACAATACAGATGTATGCCTAGGCAATTAAAAGGTAGATTAGAGAATAGGGACGAGCTTTGAGATGGTTGAACAGAAGTTCTCCGAAGCTCTAGGTGTTCTTACTGCCTATTACAGGGAAAACCAGCTGATCCTTAATCCATCTAAAACACAGACATGTGCTTTTCACTTCAAGAACAGACAAGCATCCCGAGCTCTGAGGATTACCTGGGAAGGAATCCCACTGGAGCATTGCAGCACACCCAAATATCTGGGAGTCACTCTGGACCGTACTCTGACCTACAAGAAGCACTGCGTGAATATCAAGCAAAAGGTGGGCGCTAGAAACAATATCATACGAAAGCTGACTGGCACAATCTGGGGATCACAACCAGACACAGTGAAGACATCTGCCCTTGCGCTATGCTACTCTGCTGCTGAGTATGCATGCCCAGTGTGGAACACATCTCACCACGCTAAAACAGTAGATGTGGCTCTTAATGAGACATGCCGCATTATCACGGGGTGTCTGTGCCCTACACCACTGGAGAAATTACACTGTTTAGCCGGTATTGCACCACCTGACATCCGCCGGGAAGTAGCAGCCAATAGTGAAAGGACCAAGGCAGAGACATCTCCAGCTCATCCCCTGTTTGGGTATCAGCCAGCACGTCAACGACTTAAATCAAGAAATAATTTTCTAAGATCTACAGAGACACTCGCTGGAACACCTCAGCAAGCGAGAGTCCAAAAGTGGCAGGCTCAAACCCAGAACCTCAACCAATGGCTGATACCAAATGAGAGACTCCCCCCTGGGCACACAGAAAACTGGGCGACTTGGAAGGCGCTGAACAGACTCCCTCTGGCACCACGAGATGCAGAGCCAACCTTAAGAAATGGGGCTACAAAGTGGAATCCACGACATGCGAGTGTGGAGAAGAGCAAACCACTGACCACCTGCTGCAATGCAACCTGAGCCCTGCCACATGCACCATGGAGGACCTTCTTGCGGCAACACCAGAGGCACTCCAAGTGGCCAGATACTGGTCAAAGGACATTTAATCAACTACCAAGCTTGCAAACTTTGTGTTTTGTTTGTTTGTTTGTTAAAAAAATGCAATGCAACTGTTTTGTCTGCTCCTGACACGATAAATAAATATAAATTGAAATCTCGAGCTGATAGTTTGGGTCTTCTCCTGGACTCAACTCTGAAACCAAATGTCCAGGTTTTAGCACTGATGAGGAGTGCATTTGCATGTCTAAAACTAGTACTCCAACTGTGTCTGTTCTTTGAGATGTTAGATCCAGCTGCAGTTGGACTTATGCTTTCATTGCATCTCACTTGGACTTCTGTAACACACTTTACATGGAGATGCCTTTGGAAACTGTTCAGAAACTTCAGTGGGTTCAAAATGATATCGTCAGAATGCTGTCTGGGACCCATTATAAGGAGTATATAACTACCTTGTTAAAACAGCTTCACACATATGTCCAGACACAATTCAGAATACTGGTTATGATTGCAGCTTAAGCCCAAACTATCTGAAAGACTGTATCTTCCCATACAGACCTGTCTAAGTTCTAAGACTCTTGGTCCAACTGCCATCATGGTCTCACTTGGTAAAGTCACAAAAAAGAGTCTTCTCAGTGGTTGTCTGGAACTCCTTTCCATGGGATGCATTCCTTTTGCCAGAAGGCAAAGATAGTTTTGTTCAAACAATCTTTTAATCTGTATTTTTGTGTCAGGATGGCTTGAATTTCAACAAGGTTAGTTATTATTTGTTATTTCATGTGTCCTTGTCTATGAATATTATTTGTTATTTCATGTTTGCATGTCTGCGGATATGGCGATTGTACTGTAGTCGAAATGGGAATCATGCAGCCTAGAAATGCTCTTGTTGGACTGCAAGTCACAGCATTCTTCATCATTGGCTGTGTTGATGGGTGTTGCAGTTCAGCAACATCTGGAGGGCTACATAATTACCAGCTTTGGAAAGATTAAAATAGTCAATTATTTGAGGATATCAGTTTCGATCCATATGTAAATGGAAATTAATTTTATTATCATTATGTTAATGTAATGAGTGTTGACTCCATTCAGAGACATAGAAGACGTGGACTTGCTTATTCAGTGTGAGACATTCGAAGAGGCTAAGTCTGAAGATGATGAGGAGTTGTTGAAGATATGTGATGGGATTGACATGAGCAACCATCAAGAAGTTTTCTCTTCTCTATTCAACAAAGTGAGTATGATTGTCTTTTAAAAAATATTTTAAAGGAAGTTATATAGTACATAATAAGAATATACAAAGAAAACAATCTACACAAATATTAAACAAGGAAAAAGGAAAAGTGTGAAATATAGAGAAAGGAGAGCGAAAAGGTGTGAGGGGAATAAAGTGACCTCCACACTTTTCCACGTCTGCTTCCTCCATCTTTTTAAACATTCATTAAAAATACATTTCTTTCCAAAATCTGCCAATTTCATTAGTACATATAGGTATATTAAAAAGTTGTCTCACAATATCTAAAAGCTCATGTTGAGAATGGGTTAGACCTCTCTGTGAAGGTGTTATATAAAGTCTATGCCATTAAAGGAAATGACCTGCTTCTTTGGCCTCTATGGTTTTATTTTTTTTCCTCACTGTTGATAAGAGAGAAATAGGGTAGGCCCTCCACTTTTGCAGGATTAGGGATGCAGAACAACTGCAGAAATTTCCACCATAGAATCTCACTGGAGGACCTAGAGCCGTGGTTCTTAGCCTTAGAATCATAGAATCAAAGAGTTGGAAGAGACCTCATGGGCCATCCAGTCCAACCCCCTGCCAAGAAGCAGGAGTATTGCATTCAAATCACCCCTGACAGATGGCCATCCAGCCTCTGTTTAAAAGCTTCCAAAGAAGGAGCCTCCACCACACCTTCCTATTACTGCAACCCCTTAATACAATTCCTCATGTTGTGGTGACCCCCAACTATAAAATTATTTTTGTTGCTACTTCATAACTAATTTTGTTACTGTTATGAATAGTAATGTAAATATCTGATATGCAGGAAGTATTTTCATTCACTGGACCAAATTTGGGACAAATACCTGATACGCCTAAATTTGAATACTGGTGAGTTGGGGGGGGGGGGGTTGATTTTGTCATTTGGGAGTTGTAGGTTGTAGTTGCTAGGATTTATAGTTAACCTACAATCAAAGAGCATTCTGAACTCCACAAATGATGGAATTGAACCAAAATTGGCACACAGAACTCCCATGACCAACAGAACATACCGGAAGGGTTTGGTGGACATTGACCTGCGTTTTGGAGTAGTAGTTCACCTACATCCAGAGATCTGAACCAAACTTGGCACACAGATCCAACATGGCCAACTGTGAATACTGGTGGGATTTGGGGAGGATTGACCCATGATTTTGGGAGTTGTAGTTCACCACATCCTTATGCATTTTTTTAATGGGAGCTCTAATAAAAAAACAAAAGGAAAGACTGACTTTTTTCCTAATAAATAATATTACAAATTACCCAAGCTGATTCTGCTGCTCCTCCCCCTCCTGATTCTGCTGGGCCACTTTCAGTCCCACGTCACACAAGCGCTTTCCCCCCTGCCTTGAAGGGACTCGCTGGCACCAGCTTCACGTGCTCTCTCACCCACGCATGCGCACCAAGCTGCCATGCGCCAATCACAACTGCTCCCCCCTCATTGCTTAGAGTATCAGAAACAGCTCTCCCCTTGACTGAGAGTCCAGCTGAGAGGTTGGCCAATCACAGCAGGAGAGCTTATGGTGGAAGGATTCATCGTCTGTTTCCAAAAAGGAAGAGAAGGACAAGCAGAGAGATCTTCTCTGCCAAAGGGGTTCCTAAGACCATCTGAAATAAGTGTTTTCTGATGGTCTTTGGTGACCCCTCTGAAACCCCCTTGCAACCACCCCCAGGGGTCCCAACCCCCAGGTTGAGAAATGCTGACCTAGAAAACTTGAGGCCCTCCAACTTCTGATCAAAGTGGAGCATAGAATTACCCTGGAGGACCCAGACATTACTAGTAAGACCATATTAATCAAATATATGGATAATCAATCTACAAAGGTTAAACCCACAAATGTGGAGGTCTGACTGCACATCACAGGAAGACACCAAAAACCACCATTATTTCAAGAATTAGTTGGCAAAGGCCTTATTCACCACCACACTTCCAGGGCTGCATATCCATGTAGAAGATAACCCTTCCAGATCTTTTTCCATTAAGGAATAAAAAACACCCTCCTGAAAGACTCCAGGCTGCACAACTCTCCTTTGCAACATTTTATTTATTTATTTATTGGCTTACTTACTTTACTTGTATACCGCTTTTCTCAGGCTATCGGCGACTCAAGGCAGTTTACAACAAGTCAGTACATATAATAGCAAAAACACAGATTAAGCATTAAAACAATATAAAAC